ATGAAATAGTTCAATTATTTTATAATTTAAAAATACCATAAAATAATTGATTTATTTTATAAACTGGTCATAGTGAAATATTAAATAAAAACATGTATTCTGTAGTTGCTAAAACATTGTAGATAAGTGATTATGCTTTTCCCAGTACTTTATATACAGTACATCATACAGTTATAGTTTTAGGATTAGTGTTAGGTTAGATAGAATTGGTATTGGGCTAGGATTAGTTTAGTTTGAGAATGTGTAAAGATTGTGATCAAAGAGTTTAAATAGGCAACCTATATACAGTAGTTGAAATGTAGGTGATATGGCAAATAATATAAAACCTTTAATATAGTATTAATATTTTGAACAGACTACTTAAATTAGACACCAAAAGTGTACATGTGGCTTGATATATCTTCATTGTAATTGTAGTATATCTGTATATTCTAATAATAAATTGCTGACATAAAAGTTATCTTAACAATTAACTTTTTTTATATATAATATAATTTTTATTTTCAAATATTATTAAAAAAATTTTTATATACTGTAATTGCTAATTTGTTTATTATAGTAATTTATTATAATTATAAAATTTTTATTTCCTCTATAGCCAAGTTAATACTATACTTTAATTTTCTAACAAAAAAAACATTTTTATATAGTATAAAAAAATTATTAAAATTGGTTTAAATTTTTTTGTTAATAAAATAGGCAAATAAACCACACAATTTTATGTTACACCTGATCATTTGATTTGATTCGTAAACAAAAGTGGCGTAGCCTGCTCTGTTCAATCAGAGACAGCTTCCAATTGCGCAGTACCATTAGTAATATTGCACTGTTAGGCTATCAACGTCACTTTGTGTTGCATGCAAAACGACCACTTTTTGATATATGAGTAGAAATAGCTATCTCTGACTATTATTCCTAGAAAAATCCATACCGACGGTAAGTGTTTACCCATCCATTTTTTACATTTTGTTTGTTATCTTTTTTTTATTATTATTATTTTTTTTTTTAATACGAGGAAAACGCGTTGAGTAACTGATCCCTTCGTGATATTTATTATTTTGTGGCTGCGGCTCATTAACTTTTCAACAGAAAGATTAAAAAATGTCTCAACAAGAAGTACCAACTTTTAAGCTTGTCCTAGGTTGGTATTCTGAAGATTCATATGTTTTTCTATATTTAATATATTGATCAATATTTTTTACGCGGTATATCACTTAGTCGGTGATGGTGGCACCGGCAAGACAACTTTCGTCAAACGCCACTTGACAGGTGAATTCGAAAAGAAGTACGTGGGTAAGTAAAAACTAGGCGTCATATTAGAAGGTTATTTGTGCTTATATTTAAGTTGATCCTAACCTTTTAGCTGGACTGTGCCTTTTATTGTTTTTAATTCTTAACCTTAGCGACTCTTGGTGTTGAAGTACATCCTTTGACATTTCATACAAACTTTGGTCCTATTTGCTTCAACACATGGGACACTGCGGGACAGGAGAAATTTGGTGGTCTCAGAGACGGTTACTACATTCAAGGACAGTGCGCCATCATCATGTTTGACGTTACATCCCGAATTACATATAAAAATGTACCAAACTGGCATCGTGATTTAGTCCGTGTGTGCGAAAATATTCCAATTGTTCTTTGCGGTAATAAGGTTGACATAAAGGTTTGTTATATTTAACACTTTTATATATAGTACTCAAATACTTGCCTTAGGCATTGAAAAAGTTATAATAATAGTTTTTTAAATGACAACATTGTTTTATTCTTATAGGAACGTAAAGTCAAGGCTAAAACTATTACATTCCACCGGAAGAAGAATCTTCAATATTATGATATTTCAGCGAAAAGCAATTACAACTTCGAAAAACCTTTCTTGTGGTTGGCCCGTAAACTCATTGGGTAAGGCTTGCAATATTGCAGTTCAGTTACAATTCTCTGTGACTATTATATTACTTAATGTTGTGTATGTCCATATGATTTTCTGTAATAGCAATCCAAACCTTGAGTTCGTCGCTTCCCCAGCACTTGCACCCCCAGAAACTGTGATGGATCCCAATCTGATTGCTCAGTATAATGAGGATTTGGCAGATGCTGCGGCCCAACCTCTCCCCGGTTTGTTTATTTTTGTTTTTATTTTTTGTTGAAATTCTCTGTAGTGTGCTAATATACATGATGCCATCAATTCTTCATAACAGAGGAAGACGATGACCTTTAAATACTCAATTAACTCCATACGTGTCAATAGAGACACATTTAATATAAATCATTTAAAATAATAAAATATATCAAATAATGCAACAAAAATATGTATTATGATATAAAAAAAACTGGCATAATCAACACTTATATTCAAATTTGCCTATATAAATTGATAAGCATGTTAATAATATAAAAAATAAATGGAGATAGTATTTTGTTGTGTTAATTGTCGTATAAAGGTGAAGATAAAATAAATTTTATAACTGTATGTTTTTCATTCATAATCTTGGATCAAGTCCGTCCATGTAATTAGGGTTGGGACTTATCTGGCAATGTAACTTATATAAGTTACTAAAGTAGGTCAGCTTTATCAGAGATGTAAATTACCGTAATCTAGAAATTTTGATCGTAAGTTACCATACAACACGAAAACCATGCCCGATATTACTTAACGCTGATGATTAACTCCAAACATATGGAAGAAAATTTTGATGGGAAATTTTTGATTATTAAAATTAGCGTTATCGATATATAAAAATATAAATATATATAACCATATACCGCTATAAAATTTTAAATTAAAATTGTTACGTATTAACAATAAGCATTATCATTATAATTAAGAAAAATCAACCAATCAAATACAATTGTACAATTTAATTTTAATTTTATTTATACATTTTAATCCCGATTACACAATATCGATATCATTCAATAACTATGGCCTCATATAAGTCCTGAATTTTTGTATGCTAAAGCAAGCCAGCTTTAATATATGTAAGTTACGCCATTCAATATCTAGCCTGTTACCGTAATAACTTACGTAAAGTTACCCAACCCTAGCCGCAATTTTTAGTATTTATTCTTGTCCTTACCCATTAGATTACTCCATGATGCCCAATGACATGCGCCATAGCTGATATTTTAATTTCTCTTTTAGCGCTGTTTAGAAATAACGATAAAGTTCGTTAAATGAAATTGTGCAGATTGTCACACGATTATTTTTCAAGGTCATTGCTGTTTTATATACATATAATATATAAGCATGAACTTTTGTTTGTGAATAAAACTACAATTTGAACTATCCCCGTAGCCTGAAATTTTCTAGTCAAAAAGATCGTTCGTTTACTGTCAGATGGCAGTGACTAGTACACATATATATCAAATAAAGCTTGGGTTCTGCAGGTTTATAATAATATTGAAAAGGATTGTGATTAAACAAAAATTGTTAATTTTTGTAAATTCGAAGCCGGTTCAGAAACATACTCACGTGAGCTTTTTGTGGAACGATTACAATTATCTACTTGATCATTTCTTGATCATTAAAATATGGGCGAATCTATTTGTCGTCGGCAGTTACAAAAAATTATGTTTATAAAATCAAGTTTCATGGCTTCACAAAAAATATTCCTTGCATAATTTTCAAATTTTATATATAGGCGCCAATTTTTTAGCTGCAGTGTAATATGATTAACCAATAAAAATTTAGAAAAAGTTAATATAAATTTAAATTTTATTAATAAAATTTAAATTTTGTTAATAAATTTAAATTTTGTTATGTTTTTTTATATAAACGCCAAATTTTTAAATTATATATAACTTTAAATTGATATAAATATCTTAAAATAAAAGATACTAAAACTTTTTTTTATAAATTTGATAGTTTAACCAAAGAGCTATTAAATGTATAAAAAATTTTTGTTTAGTTTATTTTATTTTAAAAAATTATAAAACTTTAAAAATTTTATAATTAAAAGTTAATAGCTTTTCGTGGTAGTCACTGTAGTAGAAAAAGTTCATATTTATAAAAATTGAACTTTTTATCAAAATCATTTGACTTGATATTATAATTAATTGATGCAAATAAAAAGCATAATATATTAACTAAAATTTTTTACTTTCATTAAGTTAAATAATAAATATCAATTATTTAAATATGCTAATTAATAAAATACTAACAATAATAAATATTATATGAAATAGTGTTGCTAATAATAGTACCAATAACTAAGCTAGTGTTTTTTGAATCCATATTGGGAATTTCAGAATTATTTTTTTCAAAAATAAGTAAAAGTTTGAAAGTTCTTCAAATCAGAAAATTAAATAGGCATAGCCGATAATAAAATTAGCTTTTTTTAATAAATATTTACCAGTAAGCAATTATACAAATAAGAATTTGTATGTCATCTCTTTTGAAATAAGTATGTTATTTAATCGAATATTGAATTATTAATTCTGAAACCCTCTCTATTGCTTGAAATTGGATTATTTGAAATTATAATAATTGTTGTAGTTGTACTTTGAGTAAATTTATTAACACATTTATAGGAATTTTTCGAGCTTATATCTAGTATATATAAATAACTATAATTCAAAAATTCATGTAAACAAATAAATATTTAGTAATTTAAACCTTCACCACAAACAATACTGTAATTATTTATAATATTGCAGTACAGTATAGTCTTGAAGAATTAGATTCACAATTGATCATTGGGATATTGTAGTATCTAAAATCCATAGGTTATCTAGAGTTACAGTTAGCAAAAATTATAATATGCCTATCGAAGACTTTTAATTTAAATAGTAAATAAATATCATAAAATAAGCTATATAATTATTGATTTCTATATCTACTAAAATAAAAGGCACTGCATAATAAATAAGCTTGAATAACTTATTTTAAATAAATTAACTAGCTTTATACTAACTTTCTAATATGGCTAAAATAAATAATAGTAAATATTTGAAAATTACTTAAGTGTATTGACTAATTAAAAGATTTCTACTTACTAGCTATAAAAAAATGTATATGATTGAAATAGTGATATCGAGATCAGAAGTATTTTTATAATTAAAATGTTATTAAAAGCGTAATATGATATATCAGATATTAAAAAAAATATTTACTAGCTTGGCTATCAAACACTATTAGATACACTTTAAGTTTTTGTTATGCAATATCTAGTATCACTAGTCAAAATTAAAACATTCAATAATAAATCAATAATAATTTAGTAACAATTCAGTAAAAATTCAGTAATATATTACTGAATTTTTACTAAGTAGTAGCTGAGTGGTAGCTAAGTGGCAAGAATCGGCATCTGAATAGTTGTTGAATGTTTACTAAATTGTTATTGAATTATTATTGATTTATTACTGAATGTTTTAATTTTGACTAGTGTATATGTAACAATTGTTTGGGATTATATATGATTTTATTCTTTTTATAATTAAATAAAAACTTATAATGTATTTAGTAAATTCATAATTCTAAAATTTTTATATTAAATTTGTTGAGTATAAAAAATTATATAAATATATCTAGCCGAAGTATTATTGTTTCTTGCATTCTTTTTGCTTTTTTTTTCTATTTTACTATTAGTTTTGGTAATTTGGATTGGTTTTTTTTCCAGCTTGTGGATTAAATAGCTAAACAAATGTTTGTTGATTGTTGTCAAAATATTTGCATTCCCAATTTTAATTATTAAAAATATTAGAAAGTTGTGTATAAGTATCTGAACCTTGAAAAACATATTTGTAATTTCTATTTTTATAATTAAAATAATGGATATATCCTTTAAAAGCCCCCAAAAATAAGCTTTCTAAACATAGAAATGAAAGTATTTGGTTTTCTGAATATTTTTAAGCTTATTTCCTATAATATGAATAAGATCAAACTTGAATTGATTAATTGCTTCTAAAGGTAATATATATAATCCTTTTTGATAAATATTGTATTTTTGAACTCTTTTTTGATGATAAGATAAACCTCTTTTTGTTTTGTAACTTATATTACAAGTTTTATATTTAAATTCTTGTTGCAAAATAGAATTTTGTATAACAACAATTAGATAGTTAGAGTAATAAGATGTATTAATATTATCATTCATTTGTTAAATTTATAATTAAAAAAAAAAAAGTTAAATAAAATAGTTTATAATAAATTTAGTTTTATAATATTATATTATCTTATTCTTACTTGAAAGATTTTGAAATAACAATTGGTTTTGAAGTTGGACAATTGGTTTGATGTCTATATATTTTATAAAATTTTTGTTTGCTATTTTTTTTTTATGTAATTTTGGGGTACAAAATGATCTGCTAATTAGTAAATTTTTAAAATTTAGAGTTATAAAAAAAGGTCCAATTCCAAAAATGCATGCATATAAATAACTAACAAGTAAAATAATTTTTATTAAAAATTATTAATTGCTCTTTATTTTTTTATTTTTTTTATTTTTATTTTTTTTTTAATAAAACGTTTAATTTAATGCATTCACAAGAAAGCATATTTAAATAGCCATTATAGTTTCCAATTCAGATAACCACTACAAAAATTTGCTATTATAGTGTCTAATAACTAATTTTCAGGTATACTAATTTATTCTACATGTACAAAAGTTAACATTAATAATAATAATAATAAAATACAATTCTTAAAAACTGTCAATTGCATGATTTGTATATACAAAAAAAAAAAAAAACACGAGTTTAAAACTAATTTTAAATAGTTTTTGATTATGTAATGTTTACAAATCTGTTTATATAATATCACAAATGTAATAAAAATATTGCATCTGATAATTTTAAATAATAAATTTTTAAAATAGATATATTAAAACCTGGGTTTCAAAGTTGCAAAAAACCAGCTAGTTATAGCAGTATGCAGGCTTAAGATACTTATCTAATTGGGTAGAAGCAGCTGTATAGCTTAAAATACAAATCCTTTGAAGTACACTAGTAGAGACTAAGAGAGTAATTCTTTGTTAGGCACATCAAACCAGAAGCAACAAGTGCATATCTAGAGCAATATACACCAATTTGGAAGTTGAAAGAGTAGGTAATATGAGTAATATGGTGAATATATGAATACTAATTAGCAGTTGAAGAGGGATATACAAATCCAAATTAGCTGTGTAGTAGGAATATAGTTAGCTCTGGTAGGTTTTAGCTGTGGATAAATAGTTTGTATACCTGATGTTCTAGTCTTAGTACTTAATATAATATGTATATATATAGACACTATTATATATTAATCATTTAAATAGTAATAAAGTCAAAGTGCAGGTGCTACACTCTTATAATTAAAAAAATAATAATAATAAATAAATAGATTTTTATCTTGTAAAGAAAAACTGTAGTTTATTAAATATAGAATTTTTCAATAACAAAGTATAGTAATTACAATACCCAGCAAAATGCCATTAATAATGCTCTTAAGGCAATTAAAAACTCTTTAAAAAATTTTAAAACTCTAAGTATTAGAAGCATAGCAAAAGAATATGGTTTTTTAGAAGCTACTGCTATTAAAAATAATAGTTTTTTTACTTGCCTAGGCCATGTTAAAGTTCTAACCAACCATAAGGAAGAACAACTAGCTAGTTATTTTCTAAATATGCAGAAGCTTGGTTTTGAGTTAACAAGAACTGAAATAAGCCAGTGCGTGATGGATATTATTTGTCAAAGCAAAAGATCTTACTCTTTTAATGAAAATAGACCGGGGCAAAAATGGTAGCAACATTTTATGAAAAACCATTTAGAGCTTTCATTTCATATTCTGCAAGCTCTAAACAAAGCTTGTACACAAAAAGCAAACTCTATAATTGTTAATGATTATTTCAACAAACTTGAAAGAATCATCTATAAATACTTACTTACCACAAACAGAATTTGAGACATGGTCTTTTTTTTTTTGATCTTTTTTTGTCTAAAATAAAACAGTATTTGTCATTGAACCTAGAGTTCAAAAGGTTATAGCAAAAAAAAAAAGCATGCCAGATTCATAAAGTTTCACATGACAGTTCTCATAAGCATATTTCATTATGCCCAACTATATTAGCTGCCAGAACATACATCTCACCATTGCTTATTTTTAAAGGGAAATAAACAATCTCAGGTCTTCTAAATAGCACTCCTACTGATTCTGTCATGGGTTTACTAAGACAGAATATATGTGGGAAAGCCTATTTCAAAAATATATCGAACATTTTATTAGATCTATTCTGCCAATATATCCTGTCCTGTTGATTTTAGATAGTTATAAAAATCACATTAATTATATTAGTGTTAACTATTGATATAAGAATAATATCTTTCTTTATGACTTTTCTCTTCATATCACTCATGTTTTACAGCCAGCTGAGCTACTATTTGCTGTACTAAAAAATGTATATAATAAAGAATATGAAAGATTTTGGGTTAGTAATAATGGTAAGCTTATAACGAAGTACATATTTGCTAAAGTTCTAAGACATTCTTATATTGCGATCTACATACCTGCTTCTATATACAACACTTTTAAGGCTACAAAAATCTGGCCCTTTAATCCTAGTGCAATTAGCCCTAACTATCTAGATTCTTTATTAGTAATGGAATGTACAAATTCTTGATCCACTGTTATTGTCATCATTATCTTTTTTGCAATCTTCATTTTCACAAACTTCAAAGCCAAGTCATAGACGAATCACTAAAGCTAATCCTACTAAAAAAGAACTAATGTTAAAAATCAACTTATTAAATGAAAAGATTAAACAACTAGAAGAAGAGCTTGAAGTTGTTAAAAACCCTGATACAAGTTCTTTGTAGTTGATACTTAAGTATCCTCTGTATCAAAATTCACAACCTAAAGATTCAGAGATTAATAAAGAGGAATCTGGATCTCTACCTCTAAAAAGAAAAAAAAGAAAAACAATGCCTTTCTCCTACCTTCTAACAAATAAAGAATCATTAAAACAACTAAGAGAAGTAGAAGAAGAGGCAAAGAAAGTAGCCAACAAAAAACAGCATAAAAAAGAAGAAGCTACCCAAAAATAAGCAATACATAAGGCTGAAAAGGTGTAGAAGCAGGAGGCACAGAGGAAAAAAAGGAGGACTTGGAATATACTAAAGCAAAAAAACAGCATATTAAGAATAAGAACTGGCTTAAAAAAGATAAAATATAAAAAAATCATCTATTTTATATAATGTGTCAAATTAGAATAATCTTTTAATAATCTCGATTTTGAAAGAGCTTATATTATTAAAATAAAATTTAATTTTTTTTTATTTAAAAAAAATTTTTTTTAAATTAAAATTTACTTCAAACTGAAATATATCAATTTTAGTAAAAACTTGTATATTTTTATATAAATTTGTAAAGGTTTACTATTGGGCAAAATTAGGTGCTTCAAATTAGACATGCTTTACTTATATTTTGCACTTAATAAAAATTGTTTAGAATACAAAAATATACATATTCTAAAAATTTCATAACTTTTTATTAATATATTTTTGCATTTTAAGTTTAAACTTTATATGCAAAAATATAATAATAAAAAGTTATTTAAATTGTATTAAATTTTCAGAATATGTGTATCTTTGGGCAGTGTCATTTATCATCTAATTTTTTTTTATCAGAGACTTACCCCTCCTAGTTTTTAATATATAAATTATTAGGTCTTATATATAAAATTTCAAATTTTTTGACCTTTCCTCCCTAGAAAATCACTTGATAATTGTTAGCTCTCTTTTTATTCTGAGCAACTTTTATTAAGTGCAAAATATATATGTATTTTATTTTTTTTTATATAAAGTAATTTTGTCTTTATTTATATAAACTACTATATGACTATTGTACAAAAATTGTACTATATTCCTATAGTGTATTGTTCTAATCTAATAAAGACTCACCAGGTATTTACCCAATGTGACCTGCTATAACAACTATTTGTCTCACTTGAGGATCTAAAACTTGTTTTAGATTTTGTATTGTATAAACAATATATCTCTTGATCATTTGTATATTATGTTAAAATCTCTTTTTACTTTCTAATTCTTTTTTCATCTCAAGAGACACAAGACAAAATGTGGAAATTTTTAACAAAAAATTTATAAAACAACCAGAAAAAATAAAACAAAAAAGAAAAAAAAATATTAATTATAAAAAAGAAAAATATAAAAAGAAATTTAAAACTCTAAAGGCACTATTATACTTCATTGTCTATCCTAATTCATATTTCAAGCTAGATGCTGCTATTGCCTGAGAACTTGTGTCTCAAGTAGGGTAGGTGGTATGGGGTCCTGGGGCATGCCCCTATCATGTGATCATTGGAAGGATCGTCACAAATATGATTGGCCGATATCAGAAATAAATTTTACAGAATTATAGAACACAATGCTTAAGTATTTAAGCCCTTTTATATTATATATGAATCAAGCTCAGGTATAAGACCCGGGTATAAAATCATTATAGTGTATTGATTTCTCTACATAAAAGCCTCTCACGATTATCAGACCAAAGTCTGTATAACAGACTCTGGGTTTATTAAAGGTTTAAAATTGCTAGAATATACTATGCCTGGGTCATGTATACGCACTTTCACAGTACTATTTTTTAAAATTATTTATCTTCACAAATAATGTTTTATGAATTACTAAAACAGGTATTCTATTGTTGCTCTTTTCAATTTAAAGATTTATTAATCTTGGATCGGGTAATACCGAATTGAACTTAGTAGTAAATAATAATTTCATTCAAAATTTTAAATATGCGTGATATCGAACAATAATTATTAGATAATTTTAGCAAATTATCCTTTTACTAAATTAGGATAAGACATTAGTACAAAAATAGAAAATGATTTTAACTATCAGGAGTTTTCAAAACTATCCAAATTTAGAATTCTCGAATTTGTATATATCCACATATTTAAAAATTATAATACAATTTAACCATTATTGATAAAATTCCTGAATCTGTATTCACATATTTAAAAATTTTAATATGAAAGGGTGAAACCTGCGACAAAGAGTTGATGTAAACCTTACTTAGTTAGGGTTTAGTGATAGGTTAGTTACTATTTTAGATAGTAACCTGCATCAATAACGTAACTACTTTCACGGGTTTCTATCACGGGTTTCACTCTGTTATATTATAATTACAATTCAACCATTATCAAAGTCCTAGAATATACAATATAATAAAAATAAAAATAGATTATCATCTTATTTATCTGAAAGCAAAAAAAGAAATATATTTTACTTATCTAAAACAAAGGTATTATTGTTCTATATTTTCAATCATTTGTATTATCTGATCAAAAAAGAAATAAAATATGATTAAAATTATATAAAGACTACTTTCTGAAACCCAGATTGTATAGTGTTATTCGCAACACAAAAAAATATATAAAAAAATTATTGAATAAAGTCACTATGCAAACCTCTTCAGGTTTTACTATGCCTCTTCTAACACAAGATCTACGTTGGACTGGTTTTTTCCGTTCTGAAAATAAAAGAAGAAGAAATAGATATATCGCGAAATACAAATATTGTTTAACTGAACTAAGTGATAAGCCCGAAAAGCTTCACTAGCATGTTCTTCAGTATAATGACTGGCCTGTTTTTGAAAAAACTACCTACTTTCACAAAGTTGCTGAAGAAAGTTCTTTATCTTGCAAATGCACTTGTGATGAAGAAGATACTTCAGTCGATCCAACTATTCAAGATGATGATAGCATATCAGAATTATCTTTATCTCATTCTCATCAAGGAACTATTGTTAAATGGTTTGTACCATCCTTATCTCATATATAGTCTAAAAAACTTCATTAAAAACTTCTAAAAGCCATAATTTATGGAAATAATTCTTTTTACCTTGTTGAGAATCTATATTTTCAGGATTTTCTTAATGATTTAAATCCTTCTTACTACCTTCCTTCTCAAAATATTATTAGGGGGTGTCTCTTAACCAAGATATTTTCTAATTATACTCTAGAAAAGTTAAATACCCTTTCTACCCTTACAGATCTTACAATTTCTCTCAATAGATAAACAGATAATTCAGGAAATTCGATCTATAGATTCATGGCCCTTAAAGAACGTTAGGAGTTTGTACTAGATATTTAGGATTTATCTGCATATCACCACATTGCAGAATTTTTTCAAAATAAGGTGATGGAAGTTTTGTCTACAAATGGCATCCAAAAATCGTCTATTATTGCCTGCATTACAGACAACCCCTCGAATATAGACAAAATGAGAAGAATGATTCATGTAAATATAAATAAGTCAAATATATTAAAATACCAAAATTATATATCTAATACTGTATAAGTATAAAACTTACATGGTATATTACAAAATTTAGGAAAAAAACCCTAACATTATCCCTATTCGTTGCTGTTTGCATGTCTTTAACTTGATTGTTAAAGACATTGCCAGCTTCTCTAGTATTGTTTCAGTGTGTAAAAATAATCAAAAACTTGTTAATTTTTTTACTTCGTTGCATATCTGGAGTAGAGAATTGCAAAATTAGCAAAAAAATCATAATATCAAACATTTCTTATTCACATTTTGCGAGACAAGGTGGTATTCACTTGCTAAAGTCTGTTTGGGTATATTAACCTATGAACAAGGTTTCTAGCACTGTCTTTTGTTAAGTGAGACTTTAAATCTTAAATATTTTAAAATCGAGAACACTATAGTCAAAACTCTTATTTGTGATAAATATCACTTTGCTACAAATGATATACTAGTAAAAGTAATCAAGCCAGTTGTCGACGCTATTGGTAGACTAGAATCAAATGATTCTACTCTTGCTGATATTTTTAAAGAGCTTATTAATATCCACCAGCAAATATCCCAGCTTGAGGTTTCTCTTGCTAACTTTAAGGCCCACGCCCTTTCTATTATAAGCAAACGTGCAAAAGAGTTTGATTCTAACATTTACTTTGTTGTGCTCTTCCTCTTACCAGCCCACAAACAGTTGGCTATATCCAAAAAAATGAATAAAGAAACTATTAGCCATGCGATACTTGAATTAGCTTGGGTGTAGGACTTCAATCAAAGAGATGCGAGTCTCTTATACAAAGAATTAATTGATTATAAGAATAATGATCCTCCATTTAATAATTTACCTCTAGATTCCTCACGATCTCTACATTCTTTCTGGGCCAAATTTAATGGGTGTGCGCCTCTTTTACATTGATTTGCAATGAAACTTCTTGCTATCGCCCCTCACGGTGCTAGTTATGAATGGCTTTTCTCAATGCTTGGTTTGGTTAAAACAAAAATCAGAAATAAGTTAAGACCTGAAAATCTTTCTGTAATTGGCCAACTTAGAAACGAACTCAAAAAATCTGTACCTAAAGTTAAAAATAAAATTAAAACATCTGTACCTGAACTTTCACCCTATGATGACAGAAGCATTGATATTTTCTTTGATGAAGGTGATCAAAATAAAGAATTATATGACCTAGAAGAATTGGATGAAGAACTAGAAGTTATAACGGAGCAAAATAAGTTGTCTATTATGGAAGAATTTTTTGATTTTGCAGCACTTGAGAAAGATCAGGAAATTTTTGAACAAGACTCACCTTAGGTTAACTCAGAATTAAGTGATTATGCCAAAAATGAATGGACCGTTGACGATATTATCTTTCAAGCTAAAAATAAATATAATTTGTAATTTTTAAATATATATACAGTATATAAATTTTAAAGTAGAAAAAAGAACAAAATTATTTTTTAAAACATTTATTTGTTATGCCTTAGTGTTTAAAATTGGCCGGCAAATTGTGACAATGAATGACTTAATTGAGTTCTATTAATATTTTCTGGATTTTAAGAATTTCGATCAATTAGCTATATAGTAAAATTTACATATCATTCATATTAGCAAATATATATAAAAAAAAAAAATTGGCTTTTTTAATGTTAATATGTTCGTAAAATGCCTATTTTTTTCTTAATATTCGATTCTTTTACTCTATATTACTACTATATTACAACACTTAAGATCTATTTTTTTTATTTATAAAAAATTAAATCGTGCT